TTTAAACTGTCAAACACCAAGCGGTCACCGGTGACCGCAACCTATTGTTCTATAATTGTGTCTACAAAACCGGTACTCGACGAGTTAAAAGAGAACCCATTATGATTACATAGTGCTAATGTCCCATTGTAAATATTATGTTCCCAGTGTCGTGATGTCACAATATAATTGAATGGAACACATCCATTACGAGGATTGTGTTATCGCCCTTGGCAGTTCCGCAAACAATGATAGCGCGCAGTGACCTATTAATATTGTTTTTGTTAAGGGTATCTTGTCCAATATAGCGATTAGTTTAAATTGGTCATTATGATGTTCATATTTACGTCTTGTCGCCAGAATACGATCTCTATTTTGTATATTATGAAAGAGCTTCGTCTTTAATTTGATATTATAACTTTCGTTAGACATGTTACACTAAGTTAATTTTTATAATTGTCGGCTTAATTTTGGAACTGTTTGACGAGGACTAGAGACTCGACTAGTTTCAAGCCACGCTAGGGGCTCATACTCACGAGCGGCATTCCGTGATACGCGACGAACAACATAATAATAAATTAATTTGATGCGTAGATCCAGAGACCAGACTTGTTACTAACCCCAGGGTTACGTAAAAAAAGGTCAAAAGAAAGAGGAATGGTTTGCCTATATGCAGCTGTAAACATTTTCACTATGTTTTTAGCGACGGACATACACATAACAAGTATACAACTCATAGAATTCTGTTGAAGTGTTTCCCAACTCACAATGCCAGTTGGCAACGTTCCAGCTTGTTGTAAATGACTGAATAACTGACACGACATATTGAATTTATACATATAATGTAATAGCCATGTTTGGGATGAAAATGGAAAATAATACTCGTGGGAGAAATTGCATTATGTCCAGAGGCCAGCCCATCGAGCTGCCACAAACTGTCAAATATCTTGAGTAGATTTTCAGCTTTGCTATTTCGGCTGTAAAGTTGGTAATCTACTAAAAAAGTACACAATTTTGTATAGCTTGATATACATGCATTTGAATGTACTGGCAAATTGGTTCAGCATCATTTAACCTACCGTTGAATAAAACCTCACTTATTTAAGCAAATACTTAAATAATATTATGTTATGAAAAGAAAAAAGGGTAAAAATATTCGCAACCTTCGCCTAAACTGTAAGGAAATAAACATTGACATTATAATAGTACTATAGACCTAATAAAAAGAAGGTCTATCAAATAAGGCATCAGTTCAAGGCTCTTCTTCTTTAATGGAGTGATAGCAACAACGTCTAAGCTATAGTAATACCAGCGTTATTTAATGTTGTCTAGACGGTGTTAAAACTATTATTTTTAGCTCTAAAGTTATTCGAAGTTGTACCACTTTTAAATTGCTGCAAGTTTGTAGTGGTGATAAAATATCACTCTTACGACTTAAGCTTGTTAAGATCTTAGAGCAAAAGGTTATAAAGATGATAAAAATGTAACACTCAAAGAATGAGGAAAAAGAAAACACGATGTGGGTTAAACACAAAGAAATGAGCGTACTACTTTTGAAAAGCTATTCAATTTAGTTAATAAAGCAAAAGCAATTCGCTTACCATTAGGTGATTCGTCTGCTCGTTTGCCTCCTATTCAATAAAAAAAAACATTAATTAATGCAAACCAATAGAATTAAGAATTGTTTCGATATTGCTAAAATATAGGTATAACTCACTTCTGTAAAAGATTAGCAAGTTAGCATTGCATACTGTTTTATAAATACTGTTATCAATTTTGTTACAGAGGCTCACAGATCAATCTGTGCAACGGTGGTGCAGGCACGACCGCCATGACAGGCCTTCCAAAAATACCCAATGGGTATGGAGACCAGAAGAAGCCCATGGCTACTCTCACACACCTGCCCAAACGTCCCCCAGTAGACATCGAGTTCTCAGACTTATCATACTCAGTTAGCGAAGGAAGAAAAAGGGGATACAAAGCTTTGCTCAAATGCATAAATGGCACATTCAGATCTGGAGAACTTACGGCCATTATGGGACCTTCTGGGGCTGGGAAAAGTACGCTTATGAATATTTTAGCGGGATACAAGTAAGTTGTCATTTAAATATTATGATGCTTGAGATTTCCCAGATTACATAGAATGAACCTTTGGTCAGTTTTTCTATATTCGTAGTGCGACAAGAATTATTACGTCATACCCGTACTTAATTATCCTTTGCATACAAAAACTGAAATGTTATTCCCACAGTTCGCACTTTTGAAAATGAGGAATTGCTCTCGGAATGCTACATTTGGAGTAAAGCCAAAAATGTTCTGAATTTCTTTGCGTTTACGATTCACTTTCTGATTCCAGAACGTCCAATGTCAGCGGATCGATACTCATAAACGGCAAGGAGCGAAACTTGAGACGGTTCAGAAAGTTGTCCTGTTACATAATGCAGGATGACTGTTTGTTACCACATCTCACAGTGAAAGAGGCTATGCACGTGTCGGCGAATCTTAAGTTAGGGAAAGACATGACAGTCACTGCCAAGAAGATCGTCATAGACGAGATTTTGGAAATGTTGGGGCTCGCTGAAGCTGGCGATACAAGGACTATAAACTTATCAGGCGGCCAGAAGAAGCGGCTGTCCATAGCTTTAGAGTTAGTTAACAACCCACCTGTGATGTTCTTCGATGAGCCTACATCAGGATTGGACAGTTCATCGTGTTTCCAATGTATATCACTATTGAAGTCACTAGCCCGTGGCGGTAGAACTATCATATGCACCATACATCAACCGTCCGCAAGGCTTTTTGAGATGTTCGACTTTTTGTACACATTGGCTGAGGGGCAGTGTATATACCAGGGGAAAGTTAGTGGTTTAGTGCCGTTCTTGTCTTCAATGGGTCTCCACTGTCCGAGTTACCACAATCCTGCTGATTACGGTAAGTAATCTTTCTTATTCTTAACTACCAATGACTGATTCATAAATAAAGAAAAATGTATTTGATGATTAATTCAGTAACTCAAGTTTGAAGGTATTTCATCACCTGCTTAACAGTTTATAAAATTATGTTCATAATAGTTCAATCGGCACAGTGCTATAGAAATAGTACGATGCTGAAAACGAGTTTAGTTTGTTGACGCAACTAGTTCGTTCGCATTGAATGTAGATCAAGTTATTTCAGTCGTAAACAAAATAATCAAACGTTGAGATCACGTGCAGCTTCGTCTTATTCGTCTACGGACAAAATATTTGTTGGAAAATATTGACTGTGTCAAATTAAACTATGGCTTCAGTAATCGATAGGTATTTGATCTTGATCACTGTTAAAACTTTCAAGAGATATCTGGATAAACGAATTTGTTTTAACTGTGTAATAAATCTAAAAGTTGTTAGAGTTTTATTTACTAAATCATCTGGTAAAATATTATGTTTAGTAAATAAATCAGAATTGATTGGTGATGTTGAGAGCGCTTTCATCATCAATGTTTTATCTTTTATTTTTAAAAATATAGTATACGGTTACTATTGAAATAATATTACCACGCTATGTGAAGTAGTTATTTTACTTAGCACACAAATTAACACTTCTCATTTTTTGTCAACTAAAAATTTATAACCGACTGACATGGAAAAATATAAGAAAAGCTAATATTACCCATTTATTACATACACCATGCCATGGGACGACCTTGCTGTGATGTAACCAACGAAGGTTGAATTTGTTAAAGTTAAAAATAAACACACTACAGACCGACTGACGACAAGACAATAAACTGACATATACCATGCGGGTAATTATACGGATAAATAGGTATTATATTATTTACATACATGATATCGGAGTATTTGCTTAGCAAAATTGATCATTATTGTATATAGTAATAGACAGTAACTCAAAAATAATGCTAATAAATCTATGGCAATTATTACGAATTATCAGAAGGTTTAAAATCTGACAATAGGTCTAGGTGCCCATAAGGCTGTGTAGAGTAATATGGCTGTCGTTCTACGTAAAACTGTGGCATTAGGTTCAATTTAGCTAGAACTTAGAGCCGATCCCAATCTAATTGGGAAAAGGCCAGGAGAGAAAAAGAAAATACATTGATATCCAAAGCATAGTGATATGAGAAAATCGCCTCTACCACTAGAATAGTAAGATACAAACTCAATATTATTTCCATTTATAATGGTCCCTGAAATACCTACTACTTTCTTTTAATAGCGATCTCAAAATAGGGGAATAGTGACGTCATATGAACTTCTATAAGCTGAAATAACCTAGTTACGTCAGCTTTTACTACTACAAACAAAACAAACCATCCATTTTCTTTATTGTGTTTACTGTTTGACTTTACTTTTGAATCAGCGACACTGTTAACAATACTGCATTATCTATAATATCTATTGTAACTATGAATACTCACATAATTTCAAAAAGTGTAGCAGTTAATGTATAAATATGAATTTATCTTTAAAGTAAGTTTTATAAAATAAAAAAAATTATGTCACGTAAACTTAAACTTCATCGTACCAAAGAACAACCATTAATTAAAAAAAAAAACAACACAAATCTGACTAGATGCCTTATCTATTACAGTGATGGAAGTAGCAACAGGAGAACACGGTGACTGGGTGCACAAGCTGGTGATGGCAGTGAACAAAGGCAACTGTGGCCGAGGGCAGTCCTCATCATCATCATCATCGTCCTCCGTACCACAGAACATGAACTACAACAATCAAACTAGCAAGAACAATGCCCAAAAAGCGGAGCAGCAAGCACTCGCTATTGTGATAGGTGAGGACGATAAAATGATTTTTATTACATAGCTGAAGAGTTTATTTTAGTTTGAATGTTTGGAACTAGTATGGCTAGTGATAGATTCGTGGATGGAGCAGAGGAAGTACAGTAGTTAAAGAGCTGACGTAGAAACGTTGTATTTTGTTGCAGACAGTTTTGCTGTGAGCAAACCAACTAATTTTAGAATAGTCTAACATTGAACATGAAATGCGTAACCCAGTTTGATCTGCCAAATACATTCCAGGCCTAGGATTAACTAAAATTTGGAATAAATTATGACCTAAGTAGACTAGAAATTTTTACTTTGATCATATTACTAATTGTGTTCTTCTTCGTCTTTTCCAGATAAACCAACCTGTACTGTGATAGACATGTCCGAACCAGTTCTAAATCCTGAGAAGCAGAACGCTTTACCCAACACCACGAACCTTGCACCAGTTACATGCACCACCTCACTCCTGGACTCCAGCGAAAGCTTCACAAAGAAACCAATCAAGACCGGCTTCCCAACATCAGGATGGAAGCAATTTTGGATCTTATTGAAACGTACTTTTAGAAGTATTTTGCGAGATCAGATGTTGACGCACTTAAGGCTATGTTCGCATACAGTGGTGGGGCTGTTAATTGGGTTCTTGTATTATGATATTGGAAGAGATGCCGCGAAGGTGATGAGCAACGCTGGCTGTATATTCTTTACTGTGATGTTCACTATGTTTACTGCTATGATGCCTACTATTCTTACATGTAAGTATTGAATGGAAACTGGTTACTATTTCTGAAGTGATATCTTTAAAAATGTTGTAAAGTATGGTTTTAGTTTTAAAAAGCTATAATTGAACTAAAACCTAGGAACCAGGAAGCTAGTCAAGGTTGTGTCATTTACATTCATAACTGGTATTTTTATCTATCTAGTAGAATTGCTACATCATACATAAAGATGGACCTAAAACAGTGCCTTGAGGAACACACTAAATAAAGAGGCCAACACAATGATGTCTAATGTACCCTACATAAAATTACCTTATTGTTTTATCCTTTACTTTATACTGATCATCAAATATTCTTTGTTACAGTCCCTACTGAGATGAGCGTGTTTGTGAGAGAGCATTTGAACTACTGGTACTCGTTGAAAGCCTTCTACTTCGCTAAAACTATGGCGGATCTACCGTTCCAGGTAATTTGAATATATTTTTCTGATACAAATTTCCCGTCTAATTGTAAGTCAAGTCACTGAATTGGGGATATGTGCTACGTTGAAAAATACGTTTTCAAAAGTTTCGTCATTTAGTAAAGTCTCGTCTACCACTTTATAATTACATTACTCAAAGATATAATATAATAATTGTCTAAATGAAAACTGAATGACTCGTCATGTTAGTATCAGATATATTAAATTTAGAAGCATATTTGGAAACACAGTTATCTAAAAATATACTTTATGTATACTTAACTAGAACCTCTATTGGTTAAATCTTAACCGTTACGGTGAAATAACGCCTGTTACCTAAGCTGTCCTACTTATCACATAGATCTTATATCATAGGTCGCTGGTGAAAGTTGGAACTGCACTAACTTAATATTACGATCTGTTGAGAAACGTCAGTAACTTATGATGTTGTTAAGTTAACTTTGATTTTATTATCAACTTTTAAAATATGTCTGCCTCGTTGGCCGAGTGGCCGCAATTGCGAATGCCGGACAAGGGGTCTCGGGTTCGATTCCCGGGTCGGTATAGTATTACTGGGTTTAAAAAAAATCTCAGTAGTAGCACTGAGTCTGGAATTGTGCTCGGTATATGGCAATAGGCTCACGTTTTACATGGGACTCATAACATAAATAGTGAAAAGTGGGTGTTACATTGTACATGGGCATAATGTGTACCTCTGCCTACCTCTTCGGGGATAAAAGGCGTGATGTTATATATATAAAAATGTGCGTAATGGTGAGAAAAAAAATTTGAGTTCAGTATCCAAAGTTATACAAAGACTATGTTGTTGGATCTTAAATTTAGCAGCAAATGTTGTCAAAAATTTGTACTGGTGTCCTGTACACCTCTCGAAGAAATACTGCCTAATTATCCCGTCATATTCTGTTTCCCACTATCTTTATTTAGAACACGTTGATTGTAAGAATCAAGTTTGGAAACACAAAATTTCAAACCATACCAACAAATTAATGTCTCAATAATACTAATTACCTAATAATATACCATTTTATCTCCACAATACTGACTGACATGGCCTCAATTGGTTATAAAGACCGCAGCTAACGGTACTTAGTCACAATGATACTACAATTGTCGTTGTAATAAATATTGACGCCGGTCAAAGTCAAACATGTTACAATGAACATCAATAATAAAATGGATACAAAAGTATTATTGTCATTCTTTGTTGATAAAACAAATCATCAGTCGCATACAAAGTAACACCTGTTTGAAATGTTATCATCTCCTGATAATGATACAATCTATCAGATTTTATCTTAATCTCTGGCTGAGAAATCTATAGGTAATTGTAACTGAATTTTTTACATCAACACATTAACTTTGTTTCAAAATGGCTAGGGCTGTGTAAAGATGTCGAAGTTTTAGATTGTTTTATTACATACTCAATAGATTTCTTTCTTCTTTGCAGATAGTCTTCAGTGGCGTCTACGTAATGATAGTGTACTTCATGACTGGCCAGCCAATGCAGACAGATCGGGTTCTCATGTTCACGACCATTAATATCCTGACGGCCCTGGTGGCGCAATCCCTCGGCTTGCTCATCGGGGCCGCTATGAAGATAGAGACCGGGGTCTACCTGGGACCAGTCACTACTATCCCTGTAGTACTCTTCTCAGGCTTCTTTGTTAACTTCAACGCAATTCCTAACTATCTACAATGGCTTACTTACCTCAGCTACGTTCGATACGGATTCGAAGGAGCCATGCTGTCAGTTTACGGCTTTGGAAGAGAAAAATTACATTGTTCCGAAGCTTACTGTCATTTCAGAAATCCTAACTTGTTCTTGAAGGAAATGACTATGGATAAGGCGAATTTCTGGATCGATGTCGGCGCACTAAGCGCACTCTTCGTCTTCATTAGGGTAATCTCTTATTTAGTCTTAAGGTTCAAATTGAAGATGATGCAGTAGACGCATGCACAAAACGATCAGCTTCGTTGGCGATGATTTATTCTTTCAATTTGTCGATTTTGATGGAATCGGAGTTAAGTTTAAGAATGTTGGCGTGGTTGAGTTGGTGTGATTGTACCAAGAGGATATTATGAATCATTCCTACGGATAAATTATTACGTTGAAGTTTGTTGGAGCTTCGTGTGATTGATGATGAGGTGTTCAGGCTCGTAGAGTTATGGGAGATTGTTTTTAATATAAACGTGTTGTCACAGCTAGCTATGCTTTAATATTAGGAACGTACTTAATGGGGTATGCCCCATATAGCTCAACGGTCTTAAGTCCGATTCTATTCCAAAAACTTTGATCATCACGGATTCTGATAGCAAGTTCGTAGTAATAATAATAAAATAGTTTTCGAAATACTTTAGCTTTTTAGTACGCAGATAAATTTAGATTGTTTATACGTACCCATAGGGGATAGGCGTTAAGGTTTTATAGGAAATCGGGCCCATGACTTAAATTTTAAGTTCCTTATTTAGTGATTTTTCATACGTTAGTTTACGATTCATTTAAAACATCACGCGTAGGCGATATCTACTTGTATGTACTCAACATTCTTAGGTATTTAATTAGTATTTTAAAGTACTTTTCATTACGCTAAAGATTTTTTCGTAAATCTCTATGTCTATCCTAATTACCAGTATTTATTATTAAATAAACGACTGTGATTTTTATAATGGTGTTGTTTCAATTGTTTTTCCTGAATATCACGTGCTTGGTGGAGGAAGAGGAGAGAAAATCTAAAAGGTTTCAAAACATCTCTAGTTTGGTTCATCTTTTTACAAAAACTTTGCTGGGAGATCTACCATGAAATAGAAACCTTTGGTGACCTAGACTAACTGACTTCTTAAAGTATTGTTTACCTTGTCTTAAGCGGTTATACGTCTCTGATTGATTAAGTCAAAGATTTTGTTCATGATAGGATAAAGGTTTTTTATAGGAGAAGAAAATAACTAGTACTATCTGAAATAAACCTCATTCCAAATTATCATTCTGATGTGATGTTAGAATTGAATAACTTAAATTATGACAGGAGAAAGGAATTCTAAATATTTGGGTGTGCAACTTTGGACATGAATTCAAGTATACTCATACATTCGCACATCTCCAATTACCTACATTCCAGCGAGAAATGTTATACTCTAACCACACTTTCTCTGTGATACTTATACTATGTTAGAACTTCGAATTAGTTTTTAAAAAAATCTCTAAATGCTATATGTAGGTACCGCTAGCGACCCACTCGGCGCGTCACGTTTCGCCCGCGCCTTAAAGAATCATCGGACCATCACAGGCAGCCCACTAGGGTCGATGCTTACCGGCGTCAGCGGCGAGCGTGACCAGCCATAATGCCTTGGTCCTAGCACAGAGCAGGAGCTGGAACCTGCTAGTTTTTAGTCTGACCGAAGTCAAAGCATTTATTTCAATTAGTCCTTAATTAAACAGTTTTGGAACGTCAAATACAATACGGTAGTTGACAGGTAGTCAAATTCATTATTGAAATATCAATAACGATACTTTACTATGAATTTTGTATTAGATCGTAACTTCTGACGTCATCATATTTCTGCGCCAAATAATATATGTACTTATTTCCTTAAATTAGGGAGGAAGTCCAAAAGTAAGTCATTTTCAAATGAATGGATGAGAGTATGGTTACTTATTAATTATTTATTGCATTGAAAAGTTGAAACAATTTATTTTAAACCTAGGAAACTAGCCAATTGTCAGTGAGCTGCAGCTTGTTTCAAAGTTTAGTTTCAGAGTGAGAAGAAAGAGAAAGAAATTCTATTATCTATTCTATTCCATTTCTACTATTTGTAAAAAATCTCACAAATACACATTATAATTATGATTCTACCTCAAGTCTCACTGAGGGTAGAATGAGTAATTTTTATGACCTGGTTAAGGATGGCCTTACAAAAACCATGTACAGACCCACTGACATTGCAAAAGGGAACGATGTTTGAACACATTTTTCTATAAATTAATAAATACTTGCATGCATTAAGTTATTACTTAGCAAGTCATAATGACTAAACCCACAAACTTTACCTATTAGGCATTTTATTTATTGTCTCGTAACAAGACACCATAAATGTGGTTAATTATTGATTTTGGTAGTTGAATTTTTTACCTACTATTAAGTATGCAACGCCATCTATCATTTGCTGGGAAAACTTTGTATTGGTGCGCGCGTAGCTGCGGCGGGTATTACTCAGACCGGTCTGCGCTATTCAAATAGTTCATATGTATACTACTAGATGTCGCTGTGTGACTAAAAGTAAAAATAATATCGAAAACAATGGCTATAATTTTCGTAATCAGTAAAAGAAAACTTTAAATGTAGAGCGAGGTCCTGGGTGTCTTATTACTATAGTTATCATAAACTTAAGCTGTTCAAATCGACTTGATACAACAGATATTAAAATTTCAGTACATTGTATAGTTTTTTATGACGAATGTTTTTAAACGTTCCTTAGCTTTTTGGAGGAGAAAGACTAATACTTATATTTAATTCTTGCAACAATTTTCACTATTAATCCAGAACCACAATAAAGCTAATTACCAAAAACCTGCCATAGAACTAAATACCAAACTAACTAGCCCATTATATTAAACGACTATAAATTTCACTTCGCAAATTCACACTCGCTCGCTCGGGATACAATTAATTCGTAATCGAGAGCATTTCCGACGCGCACGTCCGATTAGATACCTCTGCTTTAACAGAATCGATTAATTATTTATCGATTGCGACCTTTGGTTTACGCAAATCGATTAGTGGTAATCGATTAATAAGGGTGTGATGAGTCGCTTATTGAGTTGGGAACCCCTGATTTGGTAAATTGCGGTTGTATAAATGATGTCATATCGTCATGTTCGTCAATTAGCGATTTGACTAGGGGTGATGATTTTACTGTAAAGATAGACTTGTCTTTTGGTATCCTATGGTGAAAACTAATGTGGCTTTTTATGTTCTATTTATCTTTATAATCGGCTATGTCTGTCTCTTTTTGATTTCCCATCTACAACAATCTTGACCATATTAGAACTAGCGAAATGAATTGGTACCTAGCCTCTGTTGACGTCTCTGCTTACCTCTTTTTGAAGTGTGTATAATAGGTGATAAGAACTTTGCCACCTGTTTCTATTATGAAGTTAAAAAGAAGTTACTTATATTACACCAATTCAGCTTATGTAATAGAATAGTAATCAAATATAAACTGAATGTTAGTTTCTTTAACCAATAGGTTCAATAGACTGTCTGTTATTAATATAGTATCTAAAAACTTAAATACAAGCAAAATGTTACAATGTAATTTGTTTGTGTTGGTACAACAATTACAAACTGATTACCAAGTTTTGTCTTAATTGTGGTGTGTGGAACACCCAGCCATTAGCCAGTAAACCACGCACCTTCAAAGACACGTGTCTTCAAAGTGTTAGGGATGAAAACCACAATAATTGTGTTAGGTTTAATGATGAGTTGCTAGGCAACGGAGTTCTGCAGGGGCGCAAATATGTGGTCCCAGTTCCACAGAACAGGGATCGGTGTTAAAATCTCTTAGTAGTTGGTCATTTTAGGGACACTAGTATTTGATATTTGAAAGTAAATGTCAATGATATACATGTCCATGGTTTGTCCATGTGACCAAAATAAAAATAAAATGATTACCGTGAACTAACATACAAGGCCAGATTATTTAACTTGATTGGGTGCTTGAACTTCAAAATTTGAAAGAAGCGCTAAACTCTGCATTGAATGGTGATTTATTTATTAAGTCCAATAAAAAAGATTTGGAGGAGAAAAGCGGGTTTGGAATAAAACTTACTAAATTAAAGACTTGAAACTTAAGAAGAACAACCCTAGAAGATTATTATCTTAAGCAACCTCCCAATTAAATAAAAATATAAACTAGACAATAACTTGTCATTTAGCTTTTTATTGCAAAGTATCTCTAGATTCACCCGCAAGAAAAGAAAATGAACCGATCCCATCCCATTACTTTCCTAACCATTGATAGAATTCCTCGGAGTTGGTCAAAAACCGCACATTGGACCGCACGTTCCTCACAAGCTACTTGCTCGCCACCGCATATTAACCAACGGTCCACACTTCTACACCACATTAAAAACGGGAACCTGAAAAAGAAACGTTTTTATATGGATACCCACAGAACATATAAAGAAGGTTAAAGTGTTCTGTGTGGATACCAGTATACCAAGGCTTAATTACCGACTTCAAAAAAAGGAGGTACTACGTTCCAATGATTGTTTGTAGGTATTTATTATGTAGTTGGTGAGGTTACTTCCAACAAAGGATTATGATGTTGAGTCATATTTGGAACCAAAGTAAAAGGAAACACTTTTCTAGAAGGGCCAGAAGTTATGATCCTTAAAAAAGTATTGTCTACTCATCCCCTTTATATTTGAGATTATAGTCTTAGCTTCTTAGATGGAGGCAAAAAGGTTACTAAATACCGCAGGAATTTTAAAGAGTTTAAAACTTTTTTCTCCGTTGTGAAATTAGCATCGAAATAAAACATTTACATAAGGAACTTCGTTTTATCTTGTAATTTCTATGTTAATCAGTCCCGTTTGACCTTAGAAATGTTCGGAACAGGAAACAATTCTACTAAAATTAAATTGATTTTGTTCACTATAGGAGTTTCTACATTGTGTGAGATATTGTTCGTTGAAAATAAACTTTATTCATTTCATTGTGAAACTAATCCGTTTACCAGTAAAGGGGTCGGTGTTTCAAATTTGGTTTTCGTCTACTTTGGGATTTATTTTTGGATTGACGACCTTATTCTGTTGTAGTTAGAGAAAGAATTCGACAACTCTGTTCATTTGTTTCGATTGAAAAATTGTAAAACTCCTATCTGCTGCAAGCATAGAAACAACAATCAGAGTAAGATTGAGATATGTATGTGATTTCACCTCTAATCACAAACATGACTAAATATAGTGAAGAATTAAAAATTGTCATAGATTTTTCTAAAGACTTCATGACATCATGAAGTCTTTAGAAAAATCTATTCACAGTTCACACAAAGAATATTCAGAAAATGCTACATTAGCAACATAATGAACTAATTCCATGTGGCTAACAGCAGAGTCGACCAAGCAGATTAGCAAAACACGATATAATGCCCTAAGTCTTAACCATTACTCAGAAAACAAGCAAATAAACAACAGAGTGGCCGTTTTACATACAACACTTGAAAAGTCACAAACATTTTGTCAGTTTATTAAACGTCAACAACAAAGTTGGCACATTCGAGTTACAATGTGCCATTCCAAGTCCGTTTACGTTACTCTCTCACATTTTATTGCTGGCTGTTTACACAATTTATTCTAGTTTCGAATTTTCGATCCTTTTGTAATTTTTGGTTGGTGAATGAATTTTGTATGTTTTATTCAATTTACTTTTAGCTATTATGACAATCATTTTGTTACTAAGTTCTGTAACTTTAGTGGTAGTTTTAGAAATACCTTTATGATTATTTTCTTATCTTATCTTCTTGGATCTCACAAGCCACAGCATTGTACAACGCAGTTGTGCCTTGTCTATCAACACTCAGATAAACAGCCACCTGTAACAGAATAGTCCAATTACATTGATAGATATAGCAAATAATGAAAATACTACTACACTTGGAAGTGTGGGAGAGC